TTTAGAGGATTTTGACCGGCTTGCCAATGAATGCCCATGAAAGTTGATGTACGGAGCTTTACAGTCCTTTCAATCTTTGTGTTCGTACAATCATTTCCTTGGCTAAGGCTAAAAAAATTTTAAAAAAGTCATGAATTGCTGAGCGGGTTTTCATTTTTGCGGAATTTGTGGTCAGCCTTGGATTCACAACAATAAGCCCCCGCGGAAGAAAAAAAAACTCCCGCGAACAAAATGCTGCTAAAATATACTACAACTGGCCAACTGTCAAATGATAACCTCTGCAGGAATATCAAGCATCAGCTTGTATTTTTTGTGCGACAAGAAGGAAGACTGTATAATAACTGGTAGTTTAAGAGTTCATATCATTATGGCGCTTTAAGGGAGTCATTGGCGTGGATTTTGGTCAAAATCCAACGTTGATTTTCTTATTTTCATTATTTATATTTAATTAGAATATGCCGCGAGTGTGGGAGATGCCAAGAGCAAGGAGAGTCGAGAAACTGAAAAGAAGAGAATCCTGTCGCTTATCGATAGATTTTAAAACCGCTGAACTATGGATTCGGTGATCAAGGCTCATTTGCATACGTCACCACTCGCTTACAGAAGCCTTCGGATCTCTAAACGCAGCGAGTCAGTTTCTCAACTGTAACAGCTTCTCGAAGTCACAATTTCAAAGAGCGAACAAAGTGTGCATGTCTGCGAGTCTGCGTTTCATCATTTAACTGGGACATAAAATACAACAGTATCTTTTAAGTGAATATGACAGTGATCTTCGCAGTAATGAACACTACTTAGGCAGTTGTGAAAATAAGGCCTGAAAAAAAAGAGGTCTGCACCAGTATCGCAGAGGTCATGGGATCAATCTCCTTAATCCTCCTTAGGCCTTAATTTTTTCCAGGCGTTATTTTCACTACTGCGTACTTAAAGTAGTGTTCACTACTGCGAAGATCACTTTCATGTAAACTTCTTTATCCGCAGTTCGAATATATGATTTTCATATATTCACAGTTATTTAGTATCTTTTGAGTGTCTAAAGTATTTGCTATGAATGAAGAGATCTTCTGTTTCAATTATATGCTAAAGCAGTTCTTAAACTAAGGAAAACTAGTTTAAACCATTTTCCTTTTAACAAGGATCTGTTATAAAGCTGCACACAACTTTGATGTTAAAAAAAGTTTCTTTTTTTCAACATACGAACATACGTGAACTGTATTTGTAACAAAATAAAGTCATGGTTTTTAGCCATCCTCATATAAGAAGTGTAAGGTTACCTTGGCTTAATGCCTTCATTCCGGCTTGGATGCCCCTTTTCTTCACCCTTTAACTCTCAAGATCTGATTGTTAATTCTCCCCTCTAGATGCCACACATTTTCTTACAAATTAGTTATGAGAACTTGGTGCTGGATCAAAATAGCAGCTTCTACATGATAAGTCCGAATATTCTCATTACCTGTCTGCTGAATAATGTATGGTAATATAGAAAGAAAGTTTCATGTTAATCACTTCTGGGAGTCAGAGAGTTACCTTTCTTAGGGTTGAGGGTAAATATGTGGTGTTTGTATTCCTGAGATGTCTTGTCCTCCTGAGTGACACAAACATCAGCAATTTGTTAGGTCCCACATCTCCATCTTCCTCGAAGTGGCGATCTGATGGTCGCGTCAGCTGTGGCAGCTGACATTTTTTTTTTTTTTTTTTCACTTTTTGCAGAACTTTTTAAAGGAAGTTGTAAATGCACATATTACCGACCCACGAACACTCGAATGAGAAAACACAAACGGGTGGCTGTCGTTAATTTCAGGTGGTGAACATAGGTTGACATGTTTACTTGCCCATTACTTGGCTGGTGTATGATGGTGCTTGATTTATTAGTAAAAGGCACTTGTTAGAATGGAACGGGCGTAGAAAGAAAAACGCGAGAAAGAAGCTCGCGAGGCACATTACGCAAACTAATTCACCCCATAGATAGATACAAACAAATATTGTTATGTCTGTCGTATTCCAGCGGTGATTGCAGCGGACGGACAGCAGACCCGCTGATTTTTAGCGAAACATTGATTGTCGACATGTCGAACCGACACTCTGCCAGGTGTTGTTTGAGTACAAGGTGCACATTTTTTTTTTCGGTTCTGGTTATTCTACTTTGGTCGGAATTTGGGCCTGAAAAAAAAACCGAAATTAGAAAAGGAACACAAGTAACGAGAAAATAACGGTAGATCTATGATTATGGAGTTTGTCGTGGCAGGGGAATCATTTGAATGGTGATCAGTGGGAAAATTCTTAAAAGATAACTATAAATTATTAGAATGCTTCTTGAACTAAACCACAAGTTGTCTGGCAAAACTTAATTGATGTCCTTTACAGCTTTCATCTCAGCCTGAGGCTGTTTGACTATATTAAATAGAAAAATATCGAGCCTTTTTGCTCGATGAATTAAGAAAAAGCGGGCGTCTGATTTTTTGTCGAATATCTTCCACAGCGCTGAATGATAGACGATGACATGAATTTGAGCGAATCACCTTACAACCTCTTGAAGTTGAAGATTTGTTTGCGTAGCACTAAATGAATTATTCAAAAAATGCAGTTGTAACAAATGTGCTCTCTTCCGCCAAATAATCGGTGGAAGGCAGCTAACGATGTTTATTGAAAGCAATTCCTCTGTTTCAACTTTGTTGGCCTCTGGCGGTGTCCATTATCTGAGATGTTTGGGTTATGTCGCACCTTAAAGCAATTCGATTAATTTTATTACTTCCAAAAATATTCTCTCGTGATGAGGATTTGTTTCATGGAGTTTATCGGCAATATTGAATGATTTTGAGCTTTTTTTTTTTCTGTGGTGATTGGTTTGTAACTAAGTAAATGATGACAGTTTGTGATTTCAAGAAAGCCATCGTTATATAAGAGCGGTAAACTGCAAGGCTTGTATGACGTCAGAAAAGGGCTTGAAAACAAGACTAATGTTTTCAGTACTCCATGAAAGTAAATGGCTTTTAACTGCATGAGTTATCGTTTCATCCTGAGAAAAAGAGTATTGCTTACTGACACTTTCTTTTATGCAAACCACATGACGCTGTTGTCAGAATTGGCGTCCAAATTATTTCGCGCTTGACTTGTTTCCATGACAACATGTCATTCCAAAAACAATTTGCTTTTTTTGTGCGCTGAAACTTGTAGGTTATGGAAATTTTTACTTGAAATAGACCGAATGTTGATCTGAACTTGAGGTGTATTGAGAAAGATTGTCTTGATTGAGATAATATGAAACATTAAAATGATAAGAACGTGGCAGGATTTTCCTTAAAGCTTTTCCGCTCTTCCCAGTTTAAGCCTGCACTAAAATTAATAATAGTACATATTCTTTGTGTTTCCAATTTCGCGTCAGAAAAGTGTATTTGTGGTTGTCAATTAAGCTTGTGGTTTACCTTCCTCGCTATTCGATGCTTTGCTAATTGAGCAAAATTAGAGAGACATTAAAGGCGAAGGAGAACCTTTTAAGCCTAAAAGAAAATGCTTTTCTGCCACATTTCTTCAAGACATTTATCAGGTTTCTGGCGTTAGCTTCAAATGCATACGCTTCTTGGAAATAAAACTCAATATTTTATAAAAATTTGTGTCAAGGCTTTCGGAGTTTTTGTTGTTGTCAAGATGGTAGACTATTGTTTAATGCTCAACTTTGCTAAAATGTGATTTTCAATAATGCTTTCGATGCGAAAATGCACTGCTTGCGCAAAGATGTACTGTAAGCAGAATTGTTCTTGTAATATTCATGATTTCTCGGAGAAACATCGAATCAAGGAAAAAGAAACCGACAAAAATAAACCTAGCTCAGGATGAGAGAAAATTATTTTTTAATATTATGCCCGTTTGGCCTCTCTCTCCTCTTAGAATTGTTTTTAAACATTTTCAAAGTTATATCGGTTAGATTATGAATGGTTTTGGTCGGGTTTGAACGACAAAAACGTAATTTGTAGAACTTGTCATGCATGATTCTTTTCGTTGTAAACAAAGGGACGAAAATGTTCAATTTTTTTTTTGTATCTCTGTGAATCCTGTTCAGGAGAATTTTTTCCCCCGTCGGAAATTACATTCAACAGGCTTGATATAATGGTTTTGACCCGTGGTAAAGTGATGGTTTTTTTTACGTCATAAAAACCACAACTGTTTTTAAGAACAATCTGTGGCGTGGGATTTTATTTTACATAAGAGTGTAAATAAATCTTGTTTCGGGGTAAATTATAGTAGTTTGATTCGCGGCCCGGATGTCAACAAAGATAAACCTCATTTTAGTACTTTTTTTCCTTGGAATTTGTTCTCAGTCGTTTTTAAAACCACTTTAATGAAACCTAAGCTTCGCATAGATTCTGATTTGAATCCTCATTTATTTTTAAAAATTTTTCATTTACCAAGCGAAAAATCTCCAAAATTTAGCATTTTTTATCCTACCTTAAATATGAAACCAATATTTAAATCGGAAAGAGAAGTTTTCGTGCGTTTAACATTTGAGGAAAATAATAACGTTGAGTCGAGTAGAAAAATTAAAAAAATTAAAGTTTTATTCTGAGTAATCGAGGAATATCTTTTCATCGATACAACAGAATTGAGAAAGTCCAAATGCATTTAACATATATTCGTGTTTTCGTGATTGTAGAGATAAGACTCCAAAAATATGTATGATATTGAAAACGATGGAAATATTGTTTGAATCCCTACAACTAAATCAGGAAAAGTGGTTAATAATATGGACTCGGAAATCTCGCTAATGAAGCTTCCTGTGATGAAAATTTCAACCAATCGCGTTCAAGTATGAGCGGCACAGCCAATCAGGTGGCGTTTGGTCGTGTTTGGCGCGCTTTCGTGTCCGTCAGGCCGCATTTACCGCCAAAACTCCGATCTCCGGCAATAGCTCATGCATATTAATTCGCATGAATTATTTGTAATATTTTGTATGCAGATGAGTGGCCTGGCAACAGGTGGCCCAACAACAAGCCTAGAGATCTCGTCGACTGAGTGTATCTCATTCGGCTCGAGTTTCCCTGTTCCACAGCAAACCCCGCCTACAAAACACCCTGAATAATAGCCGAAATGTCTTGCTAATGGGCCGGAGGCCTTTCCCTGAGTGTTTATATCCCCCTTGCTTTCTCTTATTATCGGAAATGATTAGAAACTGTGCTTTATTCGAGAGAGGCTCGACTAGGCAGCCACTAGGATTCGCGTTTTGAGCCCGAAGCCTTGGTGTGGGAGTCAGATTTGAATGAACATCGACCCGCGGTTTCCGGTTGGATTTGTGAGAATTCTATAGGGACATGTGGGCCGTGAAACATTGTTAATAGCTTCTGTTGACGGATGGGCGCGAGATGAATTTCCCAGACAAGAATTATCTCGATTTATTATGTTGTGGTGGTGTGGGCAAAGGTTCGCATCTTTCCTGGAGAATGGCAAGTTTCGCTCATGTTGGTGTTGTCAGAGAACCAAACTGCTGAAAAATGCCAAAATCGTTCTTGATTAAAAAGGGAAAAGAATATGGAAACCTGTCCTCAAACGCTGACTTCCAAGAACACCCGACAGTTACCGAAGGTGAGCCTGAACGACACGTTTTTTCCTGGTTTCAAAAATATCCTAATTACGGTGGCAATTTATATTTTTGTTAAAAAAAAATTGTTGTAAACTTTTGAATTTTATTTTCATGTTTCGTTTTGCGCCGTGGCCTGGCAGAGAAATTTGTTGATTGTATTCTCATGGGTAACACCTGTTGGGTCTTTTTTCGCTCGCTTACCTTTTTAGGAGCCACAAGCGAGTCGGGAAAGGCATCGACCTCACAGCCCCCGCAACATAAGTTGAAACGCCGTGAAAACGGTAGAAAAACGAACGAACTCGGCGAAGAAGACGCCAATGAAGTGAGTGTAGATGAAAATGGGAATTGTATTGAAGATATAAGCGTTGCTCGGGTAGATCGCCGTCACAGAGGCGCTGAAAGCTCCAGTGGTGGTCGAAGTCGGTATGTTTGTGCCGAATGTGGTAAATCGTACGCTACATCTTCGAATCTCTCCCGGCATAAACAGACTCACAGAAGCTTGGACAGTAAGCTCGCTAAGCGCTGCGAGCACTGTGGTAAGGCTTACGTCTCCATGCCAGCCTTAGCCATGCATGTTCTGACGCACAAGCTTCTTCACAAATGTGACGTGTGCGGAAAAGCGTTTAGCCGACCATGGCTTCTACAGGGACATATGAGGTCGCACACTGGCGAGAGACCGTTCCTGTGCCCGGAATGTAACAAAGCGTTCGCAGATCGTTCTAATCTCAGAGCTCATATGCAAACACACTCCCCGCTCAAGCAATTCAAATGCGAACGGTGCGATCGAACCTTCGCTCTGAAGTCCTACCTTAATAAACACGCCGAATCAGCCTGTGCTCGCGAAGTCACAACAAGCAAAGATTGAATGAAAAACCGCCTACACAATTCTTCATTCTAGAAGCAGAAGCGGATAAAAGTTTGAGCAAAATCCAGGGAAAGATAGGTGGTTAAAGTATCTTTATGTTCGTGTAATGTTGTCGGTCGCATAACCTGTAGAGCTCTTATCAAGAAATTTAAAAGATGTCAATTGTAAAATGCAGTGCAGAGAAGACGATGTAAAATTCGTTGAAAATGTTTATCGTATCAAATTTATCTCAGGACACAGGATGAATTTGTTATGTCAATCTACTGAAACGTCTCATTCGAGAGGCGATCAACAAAAACTATTAAGAGATTGAAGTTCTTTCCGAGAAAGAAAAATATATTGGCTGTCACTCGCAGTGGTATTTATCTTAAGCGACAGCAAAAAATACGAGTATTTGCATTCGATGTTCCCAAGCAAATGATTAGACTCCGCATAAGGATATGATTTTGGGTGATTGAGAAGTTTTGTTTATCTGTTATACCACCAAGAGTTCGATTTCATTTGAAATCTCACGGAAGATGTAAACTTAAAAATATCTCTATGGGAAATGTTCAGTATGGCAAGACGGCTTAATCTTGTTTCGCTTACAAGTTAAATTCATTTTTTTGATCTCATGAAACCTGAGGGTATTTGGCCCTTTTTTCAGCGTTAAATTCGTTGTTAATTTTCGACTTGTTGGTTCAGTTGTGTTTTGCATTCATTTTTCTGACATTTTTAATATTAATAAGGGGCCATTTCCTCATTCTCGTTTAAATATGTAATCCGACTTTGTCGGTCAGTTTCCCGATTTTAAAACTTCGCCGGAGAATTAAGCACAAAAATCATAATATTTATGGAGAAAAAATTTTAATTTTTACATTTGCTACACTGCAGGACAGTTTTGTTGCTGAGTTTCTTAAATTAAAATTTATAATTTATTCTTTCGCTAAAAACCACGTCTTTTGAATTAAGTAATTGTATTGAGAGCGAAATAGAAGAGCTTTGGGGTATGGTGTTCTAGGGATTTTCATTACAGTTGGGTTTCAAAAATAATTAAATAGAATTTTTAATTTTCTCGCAATTGAGAGAAATTGAGTAAGGCGCATGAGAGAATGTTTGTGCTTTGAATTGTAATTTGGTTATTTTAAAGAGGCAGCTTCTGAACGGAAAAAGAAAGAATGATCCGTATTGGTTTTCAGTTTAATTTTTTCCGTGGCTGTACGATACTCAGCCATCAAACTATGTTTCACTCAATTTCTCTCGATAACAATCAGGTTTGAGCTGAGAAGTGTTCAATGTTTTTCCCAGGTATCTTATATTAAGAGAGTTATTCGCGTCAAAAAAAACTTGGATGCTGGTTGAAAGCGGAATATTCAGTGACCTATGCGACTAATTGCTGTCTTTCTGTGATTAACACACTTGGCGTTGATATATGAAATTGGAAGACAAATTAACGTTTCGCAAACGTTTTAAAATGACTTTTGTTTAGCTATGGTTTTAGCGATTTGATCTAGGGGTTTCCTTGCTTTGAGGTTCTTAATGCACATCGATTCGTGTATTCTTAAGTTATTGATGCGCAAAAGCTTTTTGCTTGTAAATATTCAAAAGATTTTGTTCTGTTCGCTGAATTATATTGCTATGTAAAATTAATTGTACATATATTGTGTAAAAAGTTTTCTTTGGAAAATGGAATTCTAACTCTGATTCTTGATCAGAATCAGATTTCTCTTCAAAATCGTAAGAGATAATGGGACATGCAGGTCATGAGAATTGAGGTACTGATCACTAAAAAAATGTGTTGTTATGACCTATTAGAATACATGAATTGAGAGCTTTGAGGATAATTTGTATATAAATGTCGATATCAAGGCTCCAGGGGGTTAAAATACGTAGTTATCGCGCTGTTGGTCGGGCGATATCGGAAGACTTCATGATGATATACAGATCCTGCATTTATCTGCTTCTCAGATAATATCTGCGTACACACGAAATTTTCCACAGCATTGTTAATATTTCAGCTTGTATATTTTGAATAGTGGATTATTGTAACACATACTCACGTGCTAGCTGTTAAATTCTCTATTTTGGGATATCGAAAAATAATGTACTATATTTGTGCTTTGCGTTAAACCCCGTGTTTCACTTTTCGTGAAATGACCTTCTCATTTCGTTACAAGAAATGGCATGTAACTTAGCAGTAGTAGGAAAAGCAGCAGGACTGTGAAACGAACAAGGAGGGTGGTACTGAAATGTACTTCAGTTTTACTGAAGAACCTCTTCTGTCACTCGTCACAGGTCAAGGACCTATCACGCTGGTAATCTGTAATCATTGAAAGTGTTGTGTCAATAAAGAGAGGCCTTTGAATTGAACGTATTGTTTTTGTCCTAACTATGATAAAGCTGTAAGACGTGGTCATTGAGTCTGTGGTAGTGGGGTTTCAATACCATTATTTTTGAAGTATAGCACATGAGATTTCGTTTTCAATACTCTGGCGTAAAAAACAAACAAAAATGTTATTTGGTTTTACTCAGTTGTTTACCTCGAGAATGCTGGACTTTTTGTCAGCTTGTGAATAGACTAACTGTGCGGTTTTGTGGGGAAGTCACCTCTTAGCAAAAAAGCTTTGGGATACAGCCCTTCTAACTAACGGGCTGCCTCCGTGATCTGTTTTCCGCGACACGAACTCACTCGACATTTGCAGCTTGAGTAGTAATACTTAAGGCGCTTGCGGACTTACCATGAATCGGAACTGGCCAAAATGACCAGTGAATTCACAAAGAAAACTCTTTACTCAAAACTCAAAACTTACACTATCTTCTATTTTGATGGTAGATTTGTGGAAAATTCGAGAAACTGTCAAAAATTAATATCAGTCCCGAGAGAAATGGTAATTGCCGTTAGAAAACGTGGGTGGCATTTCATCTCTTTGTAAACGGCGGAGATGAAAGGATCGATGAAATAAGTAACGAAAATGAAATAGGAAATAAATACTTTTGTTTAAATTAGATGCTTCTGCTTCGTTAGTCTCACCTGCAGGGTGAAGCAAACAGGAACTAAAAGTAATCGAACATATCGCACACGATTCCGAACGCCTGTAAACTGTGTACATTTCTACTTATCTCTTACAAAAACTTTCCATCGATATTCAAGATGTTCAGTAACACTTTTGAAGTTTGAATAGTGTATTTGTGACCTAAGATTCACTGAGACAAAACTGAGAGGTAAGTTTAATTTTATACTTTCATTGTCTGCATGTGGGCATAGAAGTCAAAGAAGGCCAGGCCGCTAATTCTTACCTTTTTTTTGTTATCATGATAACTGGAGTAATTTTATTACTCACCTAAACTTTCCCCTCCCCCCTCGCCTCTGTGAATTGACTGCCGTACACCAGTTCCTTGTCCAAGAACACAACTGCACCTCAAGCTGGAATTTCAAAAGAACTTTTGATAGACGGAATCCAGCATGATTTCCATGAAGCCACAGTGCGCTTGACGATCACAGCCAATCAATGATCATTTCACCTCTTGAGTTGGTTATAGTACAATATTCATCAAAACTTAACCTTGGCAATTCTGTCTCTAATCTTCCTAAAGTGAGAGGGTAATTTACATGGGCAGTTTTCGCTTGAAATAAACTGCAAATGTACAAAAAATCCATTGAAAATCAATTTTGCTGGTAAATGGAAACCATTTGTAGTTTTTATCTCAGTTTGATGACGTCAATTTGTTGACGTTCTTGATTCTCTCTACCTTAATTTCGGCCTTTTTGAGTAATTGTGCTTGACGCAAAACTCATGAATCAAAAATATGTTTTGATTTTTTTCGTCTCCGATTGAATATTGCTGAGAAATAATGAGAAGTGGTGGGCTACGTAGAAAGTCTCCTTTGAAAATGAAACTTGCGAGCGAACCCCTTTATGGGTCAAAATGTCAATTGAATGACAGATATTAAACCTAAAAGTTAAATCATACCAGCATCAAAAGACGTCCTTTTTAAGTTGTAACTGTACATGGCTTCATCTATTGAGCCATTGTTTCAGCGCAGAAAGTGTAATTTGAAAATTGATAACACAAATTCTCAGAAAGTTGTTATGGCTGAAAGTATATTATACCCATGTTATACAAATCTATGTAAATGTGAGAAATTTCAGACTATCTTTTCTAAGATGACATGAGTTACATTGATGTAAGCATTTGAAAAGTTCCTCTCGTGTCGGGCATTGTTTTGGATCACGCGCTTTCTTGCCGTGAGGACAATTTCCCGAAAAGCTAGTTCCTTACACAAGGTTTTCTGCTTATCGCCTCATATAAATTAGGGTAGATAACAAACCTTTTTTTATTGTGCTTGTTATTTTGTCTCCAGATACCTATTATAATTGTGTGACTAAACTTCGGTGCAACTGCTTTTTTTTTTAAATTCAAAATGTCCGCCATTTTGAATTCACAGTCGTCATTTCTTTCCGACCAGCGGTTTTTGAAATACCTAAAAAGGTACTAGAGTATAGTTAAGTGGCCATGCCACGGGTCCACTCACCCTCGACCCAATTAGATGTTTCCATCTAATTGGGTCGAGCATTTTTTACCGCATTTTGACGTCGTCAAAATGCGGTAAAATCGAAAAAAATTGGCACACGAGTGCGACACCGTTTTTGGTGTCTCTATGATCTTTTACTGTACAGACCACGGCAACATGCAATCTATTTGTTTTATATGTTACCAAAGCAAATACTGTTAATGATGACGTTTGTCCTCCGATAGATCATAAGTAATAACCAATAAGAATGTGTGTATGATTCAGCTTATCACATAAACTGTAATAACAGCAGCCCAAGTCTCGTCTGATTGACAAGTAGATTCCGTGTCACCGTGGGTCTGTTCGGCAAAATATGGTAAGTACAAAAATGGTGCACACGAAGGAAAGCTTAGTGTGTGTTCTTACCAAATTTTTATGTCGTCGGTAATATTTTGTAAAGGCGTACGGCAATGTGGAGCACAAAGAAGCAAACATTTGTTTATGGTGACCTCGGTTGGGCGTCTGTTTAACAAACAAATTCCATTTTATCGTCCGTCTGTCCAATTGTAGATCACAGATGACGTCAAAATAAGGTACGAATAAAAATGTGGCACCCGAATTGCAGCCAAGTGTCACAAATATTCTTGACACATTTTACTGTCTAGCCTAATATAGGACTGTACACTTAATCTTAGTGTCTTATATAATAAAAAAGCCAAAAGTTGTTCAATGGTGACGTCATCGATGCGTCTGTGTTCTCATATATCATAAGTTAGAACGAATCAAAATACGCGTATCATTCTGGTTATCAAATCACAAATCCTTGTTAATTAATTTAAAATCTAAACAAAACAAATGTAAATGAAAATGCACTCGGTTTCGAGATTGTCTTCCTTCCCGCTACCGCGAACAGGATATCTAAGTGGGAAAGCTCGACAAAACATATTTGTTCTTTGTAACGTAGGTAGAAACAATGAAATGAAGGTAAGAAGTTTCATTAGTTTTCCATTACTTTGAAACTTTCATCGCGTTTTTATCGCTTCCTTAAGCCCACAATTAAACGGTCGTACTTGTAGGTACGTCTTGATGCCGCCTAATCAAGCGCACGTTACTCAAGAGTATTATTGGCATAAAACTTTCAAGTGACAGGTAAAATGAAAGTACCGTCAGGTTCAGAGAAATGCATATTACTTGAAATGTTTAGGGTTCAAATTTTTTCTTACATGCAAACGCCGTCAAGTTTTAGGATTTTGAATCCTGTAAATGGCAAAGGTTACAGAACACAAACAAGGGAGTTGAATAAATATGCCTCTTCTATATCCTTTTGTATCTTTTCCTCCCGGCCTCCCCATTGAGGAGTTTACAAGTAGATTCCATTTTACCGTGGGTCTGTTCAGCAATTTTCCCGCCGTGAACGACGTTCTCGAACCAGTGCTCTCGCGGCGCAGTTCGTCGTCGTCGTCTCTATTAGCGTCGATGCTTTAAAGATCCCTAATAGCTCATAGATGGCGTCAAAATGCGGTAAGATCGGAAAAGGGTCACACGAAGCGTAGCCGAGTTCCTTAAGTCTCACAAAATTTAATCGTCTCCTATGATTTATCACTATATCGAACCTGGGCGACATGGAATCCGTTTGTTTTAAATGATAAAATGCAACATGCTGTTAATGGTGACTTCATCTAGGCGTCTATCCTCCATAACGGAAGAACCAGTCAAAGTGGATATACAATTCGGCTTATCGTACAGAATGCTCTTTATAGAAAGAGGCTTGTTGGTCCAACCGAGTTGTGAGTGATTCATAGTTTCTCAGCCCTCATTAACAAACAGTAAGCAGTTGGCTGCACGTGTGTACCAGTTGTATTAATTTAACAGGAAGTGTGACGGTTCAAGAACTTAGATCCCATTAAAAATGTCGACCTGTTTCGTAGGAAGGTTTTTATTAAATTGGGATGTCAAGACCAATCATAAAAATGAAAAGCTAATACAGTCCCTAAATTCTTACAACAAAATTCATATTGATTGTTCCAATACAGAACAGTGAATCTTGGCTGACAGGTTGACATATGTAGAGGAAATATTAATATTAGAAAAACGGCTGTGAAAAGGTTTCCGCAAACACAAAAGAAATCCACTATTTGTGATTTCACACAACTTTATTTCATATATATTTTTTTTTTTAACAGACTTCTCAAATTTTACACAATGTCAGTATAAAAAATCTAAATTATTTTCCAAGAACGTAGTATACAATTTAGGAACTTTCATACATGGCAAAATATCAATAAAACTCTACTCGCGCCTTTCTTTATTTACATCATATTATTGCGACGACTTTCAGTACAAGAATATACAGACAATAACTATAATAGTTTTAGCAACTCATTTTAGATTTAATGTAAAGTCTTTAAATACGTTTATGCTCCTATTTGTGGGAACAATCATTATACACTTAATGTATGGTCCCGAGGGAAACAGTTAGTTTTGATTTCCTGAGACTCCTGATGTTTCTCTCAACTTCGTCTCGGGAAACATCAGGACTCGAGGGAAAAGAAAACTAACTAGTTTCCCGAAGGACCATACATTAAATGCTTTGTTATATATTAACACTTTCCCTTAAACAATCATGCGGCAAGAACATGCTTTTGTATTCGGCGCGCGGGCAACAACTGCTCAATTGTATCCCGGTCAGGATACATTCGAATTTGATTAAGGGCACGTGACCAAGAATTAACCGATCACAGTACTCGTTTTGTTGAGTGAAAGTCTAGATATAGAACAAAAAGAATTGTTTAGAAGGGTTAGAGACTTTTAAGAATCCTAGGCGACTCCAAACTCACGGGCTTACCTCGGTGAAAGAACCTATGAAGTGTTTCTTCCGACGAGGTTGCGCCAAACTCAGATGTAAAATACCAGAATCCTCTATTTTAAAGCAGCTTTTAGTGGCTTAATATAACATCACTAAAACTAGTTAATTAACACAAGATGAATTAAATAATTTTCTTTGAAACAATTTGTGTGCAAAAAGTACAATCACGATGTAAACAACTTCTATTATCATCGAAAAATCTACGTAGCTACTTAATCATTACGTGTTACTAACCATTTTTAAACTAAATTTAAGTCAAGGTAACACAGCTCGGTAAAGATGGAAAGAAAATTGTAATCATACCATTAAATAAATAAAAGTCGACCGACTGACTGTCATCATTGGCTTATGATATTTTAATACCGGTAATCGTCATCGTTAAAGATGGCAGATATACATATTTTGTAATTTTGACAGCTAAAGGCAACAAACTCACAAAAAGAATTGGAATAACAGCAGCGCAAGTCTCGACCGACAAACCAATGTCAATGAAAATCCGGTCGTAACAATTACAAGTAAAAATCGACACAAAACATTTATCGTGGAACCTGCCACTGAGACTAACTGTCTTTGCTGCCTTTCCAAATGAAATATGAAAGCCTAGATTTAAAGGTGTACTGTAAATTATTGGTAGATTTCAAAGCAAATTGATGACGTCAAAATGTGTTATAATAAAATTCAGGATACTGACTTTTCCCTAAGTAAATCACTCATCTTTGCAACTAATCCGTCGCACTTTATGAGACAGAAAAATCTGTTGGGTTTTCTTTTATGCCCAGACAAAATCAACCTATAAGTGTTGCACTGGACTGTTGATAATCTACTTGATTGACAGCTGTGTTGAAACATAAGAAGGATAAACTGAGATTTTCAATGATTACTTAATCTTTAGTAATCTACATACATCCTAAAAAAAATCAAGAAACCAGCAAAACAAATTACAAATCCTATTTCTGTAAAATAAATCGCTTATTGCACATATTTCCAAAAATGTGAATGCAAAGCGAAAAAAAAAAAAAAAAAAAAAAAAAAAAAAAAAACCTGGACACTGGTGGGTCTGTGATCCAAATCTGTCCAGTAAATTCTACTAGAGTCAAAATATATACACCTCTCACTGTGCGACAGAGTTACCTTGCTCACTCACTAATATGCTCTGGATATCGCACATAAAGAACATAACGTTTTTAAAGCCTATGAAAGCTACTGAATCATTTTATAAATAACATTTTGTATTATGTAGGACCCTATAGATAACCAGAAATGAAAACAGATCGTATGGAATACAAAATGAATTTTACAGTATATGGATGATACCATTATGCAATATAAACCAAAATCAAGTTGATTAAAATCTCCCACAAGACTGAAAGGCACACTACAGCAGTGTCTACAGCAAAGCTTTCATCACATAGTAATGACATCAGTTAAATCTACCTATCACAACCACCTGACAAATCCATCAGAGACACTGATTATAATCACTCTTGCCACAAAAACTTTAGCAATTTTAACTTTAGTGTTAATGGATATTCTTATCATTTATGTTTGAGAAAAGTAATTCACATCTGTTCTTTTAGGGGGGGGAGAAGGGAGAAAGGAATCAATAATGTAAAATTTAATCCACTTATTCCATGTTCTTTAATTCAGTCTAGAACTGTATACTTGTAGTAAAAAAATCTGACTCCCACTAGTAGTTGTCTGCTTTTGTCAGAGGAAGCAACAGAAGCAGGTGTGGAGGCTTAAAGTCTTCATCTTGCTGCACCTTAGATTCTCGTCCCTTGCCAGGAATTTTAAAACAATGTAGACTAATGATCATATATTTTTTTTCATTTTAGTACTTCTCACCTGCTTCATGCTCTCACAAATTTACCACTTCCTCTTATTGAACCTTCTAACTCATTCAACCAGGCTATCCCTAATCTACCCCTCTTCTCACTCAGTTGTATTGCAACTCTCAATGTTTCCTTTTTCTTTTATTGATTTTGGGACTAGTTGCTTTTATAACTCATTATAATAACTTAAACATTTTAACTCGTTCTCAGTGCCAATGTTTCAAAAACTCATTCTAGTTTCTTTCACATGATTTTTGTGATGGTGAAGTCCAATAATAGTGAAGTCTTAAATTTGGTCTAAATCTTTCTGCAAACAAACCTTCATTAGCAATTAGTCAATTCCAAGTCTAACAGCTCAGATCAACAGCTAATAATTACAACAAAAATTCCATTTTCCATCACAAGTGTGAAACAAAATAAACACTAACCCCTGTGCAATGTAAAAATTAAAGAATAAAGGGAAACCTACGTAATTCAAATAGATATTGTCATATTATTTTTGTTTTCCAATATATCAACATGCACATTTGCCAAGGATATACTTTTAACACAAAAGATGAACTGGCACTGGCTATGCAGGAATGATAGTCACAATCATGCCCATAATCTACACGATTCTTACTTAAAATAAACTGTGACTTTTTCCAGAAGCATTAAAGATCCATTTATACACAGGCGCTTTCTTAACTTAAATACTCCTCTCCTTTCTCAGATAGAAACTTTTGGTGGTCAGAAATTGAATTTATGAATTCATTATTTTGCATTTTTAAGTCTTAAATTTTTTTCCAAGGGCCCTAAAAGAAAAGAATGAACCCAAAAGGAGAATTGAATAACAACCTTTCTATTTGTTGTTTTGTTGTTTAAAAAATACTATAGTACATAATCTTTTTTTGGTTTTTCAAAACTATAGATTAGATTTTTTGCAATCTTATCTCTGTTGCTCTGTCCCCTCAAAGAGTATTGAAATATTTCCCACAAATTAATTTCATAAAAAGTCATGTAACAGATTAAATATGATGATTGAATCACCGCCACTGTTAAAGAAGTGAAACTGAAACATGGTTCCTCTTTTCCACCTTGTCATTAACTCCTACCCTTTTTACTCTTGGGTGATTTCCCACGTTTGTGTTTAGATGAACTCTTTGAACCACTGTTTGTGTAACTTTTGCCGTGGTTGTTATTGTTGTTATTGTTGTTGTTGTTTTGGTTACTGTTGTCATTGTTCTTTTTACTGTTTAAAAAAATTGTGGGAGAGCTTTGTTTTCCCATACCATTGTCTTTACTGAGTTGCCTGGTGGTCACGCAGTCCAGCTTTGGTGAACTAACCACAGCATTCTACAGTAAATTATAACAACAAAATTTAATAAATACATGACAGAACATGTTTCATTTAATTAATTTTTTTCATCTTCCCAGTTAAGAACATTACCCATGATATCAATATCTTTTTTGTCATACTTCACTCCAGTGACAATACAAAATAATGCAGATCTTGAAAAATGTGATTGCACTTGACAGAGAACTTAAAGAAAAGGTCTCTCTAGCTTGTAAATGTACATGTATGGTTTGTTTCAGGTTATATGATTATATACTAAAGAACTGTTTCGTTCCAATTTTCCCTAATTCACGTGTAAATGTACAAAAATTTACAAAAGATAAAGCTGGGAATTTCCATAGGACCTGAAATGGGTACACAAAACATGTAAGCTAAAAAGCCCAATAAACCCAATTATTGTCAGGAAAGTTGAATATCAAATTCTTCCCGACAGTGTAAATGATTGGACACTTCCTTTTTTTCTGACAAGTTCAAAATGAAAAGATATTACTTTCTGTTGGTTAAGATCAATTTTAGAGTTCTTTAAGATCTGGAACTCCATTGAAATTTTTTATAATAGGAGCAATAGATGTTGCACTAATTAGCACAAAATGCTACACCAATTTCTTTCATGATTAATCTCTTAAGTGATATTAGAACTGAATTAATATTTCAGTTTCCTGAGTTAAGTGTTTGATAAACTTGTAGAGGAAACCCTTACAATCTTGAATGTTAAACTAAAAACTATTCGCACTGCAAACACACCTCCCAGTGATAAGAAGTGAGTAAGTTTTTTCAATAAACATTACACACAATAAATACTGATGTTGCCTGTTGAAAATATAAAATAAATTTGCATGTACTTGTTAGATATAAAGGTTACAGCTTGAGCTGAGTGGATAAACAGCTGCAGTTAACATAACCAGTAAGTGACATTTAGGAGATTCTGCTGCAACTTACATTGTTATTTGATGCACAAGTCTTCTGCTCTTCAGCCTTTTTTGGAGAGCCACTACTTAGAGGTCCCACAACTGCCACAGCTTTCAACTTTGAGGAAGAGTCAACCACAGAGGCCTTTGCTGGAGTTCCTATTGTTTGTTTCAATGATGGTGTCAAGGACTGCTTTATTGCCCCTGAATAAGAAGTCACTGGTGATGAGGAGCTAGTGCTGACAGATGAAGGTATTGCAGTTATAGTGGGTTTCAAATGCCTTAAACTATTGGCAGGTTTTGTTTCAGAGCTCATTCTTTTCTTGGCTACATTGTCTTGTGCGAGTGAATCTGCCAATTTCCGAACAGAGGTTGCAGACCAAACTGAGTTTTTATTTACTTTCATTTCAATTCCCCCTGCAAGAGTAAAGAGGCTGTCAGCACTCGTGTGCCTGACCAAAGGCTCTTCCTCTTTATCAGTCACCTTTTCATTTTCAGACACCAAAGTTACAGCATTTAACTGAGATCTTCCCAATGGCCATGTAGCACTTTTGTTGATGACATCCAATGATGTAATGCCTGGGGTCTCAGGTTGAACATGTCTGTTTGCTATACTAGCATACGTCGGGGGTGACTGGCTTACACCAGCTATTAATGGAACATCATATGATGGCCAAACTCTAGCGACCCAATCACGATATTCAACAACATCATCTGTCACCCGCACAATGCGGCTGAGGTGGCCAGCTCCTTCCTGTTCAGGCCTCTCAAAATTTCTGTTAAGCAAAAATCACCACCATAATTGAAAGGAAAATACCATTAAAGTAATAACAGAACCTGCAAGGATACAAACTCGGTTTTCAGTCAATACATGGTGATGATAATTAATTTTATTGTTACTATTATTATAATTATTTCATTAGTGAATTAGTATCATCATTACTAAGTTCTTTCAAGATGGTTCACTTTTTGTGAATCAAATTTATCACTAAATAATCCTAGTTGCATTACTGTTACAACTTACCGATCATGTGAACAAGAATCTTCTTTCAGAACCTGTTTGCTTAGAACATCATAGGCATATTCAAATGCTTGTTTCACTTCCATAAATTTATAGGAGCTCTTTCCTATGTAGTTGCCTACCATGAGCAAAGAAACATGATAATATGTTACTACATTGATACAGATCACTACAAGGCTCACCATAGTGAGTGAAAAAAAAAAAGACAAAGACTGCATGTGGCTACTGGTATAGCACAATTGCTATAGAATTGAAAAGAGCTTAAAGTTGTAAAATGATGCTAGAAGGTAGTGTTGCAGAATATTTGTCTCACATGCAAAAAAAAAAAACCTGCACATCCCACACGTTGATGAGTACCCTGTTCCACAAGAGAAAGATGATTCAAGAATATATTGTCTAATTGACATTCAACCTATAATTTAGTGGTAACAAATAATATTACTATATCATTTTGTGAGACTTTTGTTTCTCATTAAGTGATAAGATATAATAATTCTTAAGGATATTCTGCCATCTCATGTCTCAAGATATTTAGCCGACATGGCTGATCCACTGTTCCTCCGTTCCATTATTCAGTTGAACAACTCAAGGTATTGTATTTTGCAGCTTGCTCACTTTGCAAATTTTGTGGTTCTTTTTGGCATAAGTAACTGATTCAAACAGTAAAATGCTCTCTTTTCAAAAAAAAAAAAATTCCCTCTAAGCTTCCATGATGTGCAGATCACATCTACAGAGTTTTCATCTAAATTATGCATCGGTGGATGCCACAGTGAAATTATCTTGAGATGTTTATTGTCTCTTGTAGTGTCACGGTAAGAACTGAAAAGATGACATCTTCCGATCTATATAATTTTCTTATTTAAACAATAAAATGCTCTCTCCTGAAAGAAAAAAATTTCCTCCAAGTTTCATGACACATCAAGATATGTCTTCTAGGAAAACTTTTGTTTTTAATTGTGCACAATCGGAAAATGTGTGTGTGATGTTTATCCTCTTCTGCTGTCTTGTATGGTGTCACAGTGGGAACTGTAAACATGATATGCTAGTAGGTATAATCCATAAATCACAAAAGGAGAAAATCAGCTGTGTATTGAGTGCATAAGTTGAACTACAAAAATAATGGTACTCACAAAAAAGATAAAACAAAACAAAACAAAACAATGATAAGCACCAGGAAACACTAGGTCAAAATTGGGTAAAGATCAGAATTCTATTATTACCCTCACTCTTGCACTCACTCACTCATCTCAACAACTCATCTTTACTTCCTATAAAAGGCAGTAGCCACAAAATATATTTGGCCACTAAATTTTTGACAATAGTTTCCAATTGGTAACCAATAGATTTGAGGGAAAAAAAAAGGAAAAGAAAAACATGAAACCTTCTTCCAGCTCTTTGTTTCTTTGTAACCATATGGGTTATTGCCCCAGTGGACAGATAGAATGTGCAGTCTATTGCATGGAGAAAATCTCTATTTTGTTGACATTCTCGCCAAAAAGTTTGGAATTTGAATTTTTTTTTAGCTAATAATGACAATCATCAAACTTGAAATTTGCCAATAGTAACCTACCAGCAACAGAAATAAAAACTAGTTCTGTTAATCTGTTGATCACATGCACCAATCTGTATAACAACATTTCTTGTAGTGCCTCTCAGCCAGAAAATGTTACCTTCATTCTCAATTGACTCCAATTTTGAGGTAAAAAGTGGCATTAAAAGCTTGCGAGGTTAGTTATTTGAAGTGTGAACAAAGCTAATTTAGTGAAAGAACAAAATATTGTGTTTTAATAAGTTAGCTATGTTGGTTACTATTGTGCAAACAGAAACAGGTAGGGTGACACACTGAAAAGCTACGGAGGAGGGTCTTTCACATCTCTCTTATTCTCTGTGCAACTCAAGTGGATTTAATCGTGGATGATTGGTTAATTTGAGAAATTTGTTACAAAGAAAGCAAAAAAGTTTAATGTATTTTCAAAACTGAGAAATTCTACAGATTTACCAGTAATAAAATGAGTGACAAGAAGAACAATTTTTCATAGTAAAAGCAATTTTAGGAGTGAAAAGAGAAGTAGTTCTTTATGGCACCTGGAGTGAAGGGATCTTCAATGCACAACAGTGCACATGATTGATTGAAAACGTCATCCATACTGTGCAAAACCTGAGAAAGAAAACATGGTCACTTAGGAGGAAATTCAATGATTTACTGTTTCTTAATAAGACCACAAATAATCAGGTTTACTTTGTTTCTTTATAGTTGAGAATTAAGGTAACATCAGTAATTAATCTCAAATGATCAGGATACAAGTGATATCACACAGTTTGCTAAAAACATATCTGACAGGGAAGGTGAATTAAGGGCAACAACTCACCTCCTGCTTGCTAAAATAGGTTCCACCATCTTTCACTCGGATTCCCACATTAGTGTAGTTCAAATTACGTCCATAGAGTTCAAAGAACTCAATCAGAAGGACCCCAAGGTTGTTTTTCAGCGTTCTGCCTTCCTTCCTATTGTGATTCTAAATACAATTTTAAAAAAATCTTTTACCCAATTTCCAAGTTTCATATTGATTGCATCCAAGTCAATAAAGAATTGTTACTGGTTTTCAAGATAAGTATCTGAAATTATTTTCAATGAAGCAGTATTCTTACTAGTAACTTAGTTGATGCCTTGTTTATGATTTTCTTAAATTATTCATCGAAACCATTAATGAATTGTCTAATGATTTTGCTAAACCCCTAGGTGATCTGCAGATACACCCCAAAGAGTTATCTAACTAATATCTTAAGTTTGCATTTGGAAAAATAAATTTCTCCATTTCACTACCTCACTCTTCTCTAATGAATTATCAAGCACTCTCTGGATGATGAAAGATTTATGTCAAATAAAATAATAAAAAAAATTGGGCATTGAAAAATAGCCAATGTGATGCCTCAAGATATGCCTTAATCTTTCTGTATTTCCAATATGATGCTGTGGAGTGTACAAAATTATTTCAAGAGTTCCCAAGCAAAAAGCTTTTGAGAGCCTCAGGTAGCTATGATCAGTTCCTTGTATCTTTTATGAAGTTAATTAAAGAAGAAAAGACTGCTGGAGACATCCCAATTTGAAATTAATTTCATATGAAATTCTTCTAATCCAAATAGTTGCAATATTACAGTTGTGTAGCCCTTCTCAGTTATCTCAAGTGTTCCTGGTAAGAGCTTTGAGGCACATGTTAACAGAACATTTTTGACAAACAAATGCATTGCTCTGCAACAAGGCTATTACAAGGGTCCACTCAATTCCTAAGGATCCTCAAGTGTCTTAGGTGATGAACAAAAAAAATTAGTTTAACTTTAAACTTCATCCCTTTGAGTCAAGTATACTGAATGTAAAAGAAAAAACAAAGTTTGGATCGTTTTGTGTAGCCACTTTGATGCTTCACCCTCACTCCCTATATTTTCCCTGTTCTACAATGTAAAAACCTTGCAATTGTGTGTTCTGTTGCCCTTATGTGGAAAAATAACATCAGAATGCAAAAATAAATCAAAATATCCATTAAATAAGAACTGCTATCTGAACAAGCAAATAATGTCATTTTTTTAAAATATAAAACAGCTTTCTTCCCCAGTTGTTTTTCTTAACACATTTTCCTATGCACTATTCCCTCATCCACCAAGGGAACACCTATTGTTGAAAAGCTTGGACAATATTATCATGATGCTCTTAAGGCAGATGAAAATTTTCACTAAAACCTCAGCCTAATCCAAAATTACAGCTCAAAATGTCAGCTTTAAAAACCATTCAGGGTGGCCAATAAACATCTAGTTTGATTATCTTCAGCAGTTAATACCCCCTTCCAACACAGCAACAAAGTTTTTTATTCCCTTACTGATAGCTAGAGCTTTGTTTAGGAGAGCTCACCTGCAAAAAGCTAATGGCCATCAGAATAAGACTGTATGAGCTAATACCACCAGTAAACACCTCATTCAGTTCTCGCTGCAGCAAGAACTGTTTCAAAACTAACACCAAAGGTGGCAAACATGGAAAGATTTCTATTTGGTCCTGAAAACAAGAAAAGTGTCATTCCAGTTCAAATAGTATTTGATATTCTTCTGTTTACCAATAAATACACCTCTTACTAACTGTAAGTTATGGACTCAGTTTTTTCTGCCCTGATTTATGACCCAAGCACAAAGTGTGCAGACCATAAATCCAAATGGAAAAAGGTTTGGTAACCTACAATACTGAATGAGACCACAAGGTTAGCAAGATCTTTATCAAATTTCTGGGTTCAAAATGAGAGGGAAGCTTTCAATTTAAACAACCTTTTTAATTTAGTACGGGGCCATACAATTCAATATGGCCCATGTACATTTAAAACAGGCCCACTAAATATAGCTAAATTTACCAATCATGGCACATGTATTAACTGAGATATGATAGCATACAGAAATGAACAGAGAGAGTATTTACAATTTCATAAAGAGAGGGGTCAGTGCCTCTCACTGCTTCAAAAATTGTTCTGGGCTAAACCTTTCCTCTAAATTGGGTTGTTTCAAATTATTGAACCACAGTACACACCAATTATTTGGAAGTTTCACTTTATTTTGCTTCCAAGTAATTTGAAAGATGCTAATGGACAATGAAATATAAAATTTGGTTGAATAAGTCCTAGTATTTGTAAAGATGGAGGGCTGTGCTGCCAAATTTTGAACATTTAATTTTAGAGTAGGTAAAGACGCCTTTTGTTTCCCTATTGTCAGCCCTGGATCAAAATGAAATTGTGCCAAGTGGAATAGAAATCAATCAAAAATACCGTAAGTTATAACTAATGACTTGCTGTGGAGCGTAAAAAAATTTATTGTTTTTCTTATTTTGCTTTTTTTCCCCCTCATCCAAAATAAATCCCACTACCAAGAAAACAAAAAATTAAATGAAAAAAAAAAAACCAAAACAAAACAAAATACAATGTATAAAATTTGCATGAGAAAAATTGTGTTAATTTCTGTAAATTTTATCAACACTCAAATAACACCTGATTGTATACCAAACAAACATCATCCTTAAGACAGGAGTCTGGATGACATTACCTTAACAAATTCAGCAGCCTTCAATCCAGCTGGAACGTTAAAGCTTATGTCCACTTTCACATTGGTTTTTTGATCTGTCAGTTTGATTATTGGAACCTGAGTAAAGACAAAACAGTGTTAAATTTGCATGTTTATAATTTCCATCATGTTCATTTCTTGGTACAATTTTATTCTCACATCAAATTTTTAATTCTTTTGCTAAATCAACTTACAGTCAAGTAGCCAGGCCCAAGAAAAGGAAAAAACAACCTTTCTCACACAAGCCAGGCTACCCTGTGGATAAATTAATTCAGCTATCTATGATAAAATGTTTAAATTACAAACACAAAAAACATCTAATTGGTGTCTTTGCTGTGCACTTTTGATATATTTCTTTTTAAAGAAGGTTGCACAAGCAGAAAGGTTTTCAGCAACCAGCTAAGGTTGAGAGTAAGAGTAAATTTTAAGAGTTTCATAAAAAGTCATGGATGAATAAACAAGACACCAAAAACTCATAATGACCAAATGCTTTGCCACTAAAGATGTCACTAGCAAAACTACCTTGACAACAAGAGTTCTACTATGCAATATTACCGTTAAACTAGGATCACATGGCCTTTCTAAATCACTTTCAGTTCCTTTTATTCATGATATGACCAAACTTCCATTGGCAAATGACCAATTTCCTCCTTTTTCTTAACACAGAATGATAGTTTTCAACACTGATAAATGATGGTCATAAGCTTAAGATACAACACCTGCAAATTCTGTCTAATTGCATAGCTGATTGTAGAGTGTAACTGATCTTTCACCATAATGAAAAGCTGGTAACATCTACAGTAAGTGCAAAACATTATGTAGAAATAACTTATGATGGCAATATTGCACAGAAGATTTTAAACAGCTAATAATTTTAAAAAGGAAGAAATGACAGTTCTACATGCCTTCAAGCTTTGCAGTTCTAAAGAATGACCTACTTTTGGTCAGAAAGCAACTGTCTGTCCTGAGCTATAATTAACAATACTATCATTGGAGAACATAGAGGAAAAACCCTGTCGTTTGGGAAAGCACACCCTTTTTTTCATCATTTATTTCAAGAATTGTTCCCTGGCAGCCTAGAGAAGCCATCAGAAATTTCCTATGGGAAATATGAGTATAATTGACAAAAGGGGTATACAATTTTCAGCAAAACACAGTTAGATGGTACTATACACGAGTAGACCATTATATAAAGGCTGTTATTCACAATCATCCTGTGGGCTATATGCCGATTAAAAATTCAGAAAAAATCCATTAAATAATATAAAATATTATTGACTTTGAAAAACTGAAGCAAGAACTTAAAAAATTCAACCTCACATTACTTTAAAGAGACAATTCATTTCAATGTGATCCATCTGTGGCCTTAGGGCATTCAAAGATTAATTTACTATGTTAAGATGGTATTTATACCAAAACTACACCATTGTTGTCCGATGTTTTTGATGACAAAGAGTGCAATATAGTCTCTGAAATAAGCAATCTCAATTCTACCCATCAACCCCCACCCAACAGTTAGGAAAACGTTAGTTATTAATTTTTCTGCATAATTAATGTTCACAGAAATCCTCCCATATAAACCACTGAAATCAACTAGAAATGCTTGTATCAGATTGATAAGTTTCTAAGGAATTAGACTTTATTTCACAACCCATTACCTGATCCAGGATGTCTCAGGATGGGAGACTCAAATAAGCTATGAAAGTTCTTGCCCATCCTCACAGTGTTCAAATGAGTTGTTCAAGTTTGCACTTTTGAAGCCAAGTTTATCTCTGCCATCTTCACTACATTTGTTTCCTCTGAGTCTACTTAGAATCTTTTTGGTGACTGTCTGAACAAAGTTGGGTTAATTTAGGATCTAACATTCCATTAACTGGAAATTTTCAGAGCAGAAGAAACAATTAATCCAAATGGAGTAACATACCTCTACCAATCAGAATCAAAAATTGCATGCATGAGTTTTTTTTCACAGTGCAAGGGTTTCAAAGTTTGTTTTAGAAGAATTGGTTATTGAATGAGTGCTGCTTTTCACTACTATTGAAAACATTTCAAACATCACAGGTGACAAAAACTCATGAAAATCCCAAGCAAATTTACTTACCAACACTTCTTTGCACACACACTGTGCACATTACTGAAAGCACTTTTGAGCAGGCTGGAAAATGCCTATTTTTCCCTTTTTTTCCAGTTGAATAGGCCATTCCATAAAAAAAATTTGTTACCAACAAAATGCAGTTTCATGTTTTTTAGAAATAATTTGAGATGAAGCAAATTGTATACTTACAAATCTTAAATAACAAGCAAGAGGAATATAAACCACAAAAGTTCTTTCTATACCCCTATGTCATATGCCCAATCAGGTCTTTTATCAAGTAAAAATATACCCTGATATGCTCATACTTAACTAACAGGTCAATTATTGACCCACAGGAATTTTGGGAAGATTGCCAAATAAATGGTGTGATCTTTAACAAAATATGCAAACTAAGCATACACCTTTTACCTTCCACTCTTTGTTCGTCTTTCAATACAGTATCAAACTTCATTTAATTAGACATGCACATGTGTTAATTAGTCGAAAAAATTAGGTACTGTTTATTTTTATTTTTGCATAATGATGGAAATCGTGCTGTTCATAATGAGCAGTGCACTCAATCCCAAATAAGGTCATCGGTCGCGTTCTAAGCATGATTAAACAAAAAGAAAAACAAACTCTAAGAGTGCCAAAGGGCACAGTGTTCGAGATAAAGAGGATCAAATATATTCAAATTTCGCTAGGGGACGAACCCGCAATAAATTAGCATACGGAGGATGAGTATTGGTAGTTATGAATAAACAATTAAGCGACAAGTATTTTCGCGTGCAAGTACAATGATTTTAAGACTTTTTGTACCGTTAACACTTCCTGTACCACCTATCACTGAGTACAGAATGATCAACGCAATACTGTTAATTATATACGAGCAACTGTCCGCAACGAAATAGCTAAAACATGAATTTTTAAGACATTGGTCTTTCGCCGACGAAAGAAAAGCGAGAGCGAAATTTAAGACTAACATATTCTAAACTTTAGCAACAAATTTATAATATTCATACCAAATTATTATCACAACATGTCTAAGTCAAAGACTTGACTACAAAAATCATTTTATTGCTATTTCTCACCGATGCCTTGTCTAAGACTTTCATAGATGAAGCCTCGGCGATCTTATTTGCCGTGAGTGCTTGCTCAAGCGTCCATAACGGCAGTCTCTCCCAATTTCCAAACACAACAATATCGATGTCGCTGTGAATTTTAAACGGACTCGATAAGCAAAAACAAATTACGGAAACCTACTGTGACACAAAGACTTTTTGAGCACGTTCACGTTTAAAATAGACCTCGGAGGACGCTCGTTCGGTTTCAGGTTGCATGTTTATACCCTTTCTGTTGTTCTTTGTACCACAAAACGATTAAAATAAAGTGAAAACTACGAGGCCTCTTTTTGTCTCAAATAATCTTCGCCCATAAAACAAAAAATATTTATTGCATCTTATTGTAAAGCCTTCTGTAAGGGGAGAAACACTCTTAGGGAGTTTAAAGAAGCACAAAACTTAAACAGCACAAAGATAATCAAACACCGTCTTCGCTGAAGTGAACCACAACAGTCCTCTCACCTGGTTGGTAAATAAAGCCCCGTCCGAAAGCTTCCATACACCTCCACCTGAAATGAATGGCCAGAAATTAAAGACCGTTGCTTTTTATAACTCTTAAGAGCTTTTTAAATATTTTCTTTACGACTATTGTGAGAATTAAAAGTAATAACTGAATGTTGCTCATACGTACATCAGCCGTAGGCCAGAGCCGTCTGATGACTTCTTGAACCCTGGCTATCACTTCTTGTCGCATGGTATGTTCGGCCGTTCGTGGTTTCATAAAATTGTAGAAGTCCAAGATTTCCTCATGAAGCCTTAATAAACAAAAGAAGAGGCGTTTCACTCAAATATCCGAGGTTTGTCACGCTTCAATTCGACGAGAATGAAACTCGCTAAACTTACCCCACCGACCCGTCTGGATAACTTTTATCTTTGGAGCACCAAGGGGTTTGATTCTCAACTCTTTTCTTCTTAGTAACATGATTCTTGTCGGAATTTATAAGGTTGTTCAATTTGGTACTTTCCACTTCTTCATTAAAAGTATTTTTCCGATTCAAAGGGATGTATTCCCTGCTACGATGATTGTCGACCATCGTTGGTGAAGTGACATCCTCCAAAACTGCTGTCCATGTGTCATGAGCTGGCCCCTTTTGCTCCGGTTGAATCCAACCAATCCTGGGATCCATCATCAGCGGGCAAAACATTGAGTTTCTTAGAAATACCGGCTCCTGTTTTAATACAGTTACTATTTCAGATGTGCTCTGTCTTCGCTTCCTTCCTCCCACCAGTAGTCAAAGCAAGTAAGGCTTTTTTAATTATGCGCATGTCATTATTTTCCACCAATCATTGGTCCCAATCATTATTTTCACGAATTTACGAGGGAAAAGCCCTGGGAACTAGGTTGCATGCGAATTGGAAATTCGTCAATATCTTGGTCAAAATATTTCTTCTGAAAAATATACTTTCATATTATCATCTTAACACGTTCAACTGACGCAACTAGTACCCTTCGATATACTGTGCCTAAGAACAAAAATAATTTTCTCTCTGCGTGATGAATTAAATTTTCCAAGGAATATAATAATCCATCCATGCCTACTTTATGACATCATTGTTGTATTCCCATCCCATCGTTATCGGAACGAAATGATTCTTAAAGCACATACATGAAGTTTTCTCTACAGATTAAGGAGAGATCCTTTTGTGCCATCTGTACTTACTATGTATCTTAATTGAGTCAGTCTTCCCTCGGCTGTTTAGAGTAGTATATCTTTCTACCCGGAAAAGTGATGAAAAGTCATTTTATTTCATGAATTATTTTGTTGCATGGCCAGATCTTTTATTTCTACTCTCTCTTTTCCCTGGTATTCGAGCGGAAAAAGTGATATCATTGGAATATTTCCTAACAATAAAAATACGTTCTAGAACAAAGCGAAAACAGAACTAATATAGTTGTGAAATAATCAGCTAAATAAATATGAAACAATTATTAAAAGCGTCGCGCATGAAAATTACGAGATTGAAAACGTCCTATTTTTAGAATACCTTATAAAAATAAATTTTCTACAGTTTTTCATCAGATCAGTTTATCACGTTGATATGAAAGAAATTTACTTTTCTGAATACATGAAAATAGTTTTAAGAGACCACGTACTAGAGGACCGCATAGCTTATCTAAGAATTATTTTTAGAGTTTCCTGGGATATGGTGAAACGGAAAGAGTCTTAGTTTCATCCTGTATTTTCTGTCACAGTTCATCGGCTCCTTACGTCGTATCTTCCTTGTTCCGCGAAACGGTTTTGAAGAAATATAATGCGCGACTTTGACAAATTATGACAAGCTGCATGTTCCACGAAAATTTATTCAGTTGCGGGCGAGTCAGTACATTTTGAGTACATCTTAAAAGTTTACTCTGGCGTTTAAAATACTAGAACATTTTTTAATGTGATTTTTTTCTATTTACACGATGTCTTTTTTTCCTACTGAGAAGATAGACGACTGGCGATGTGAACTAGGAAAATAACATTTCATATCAAGTACTGGAAATTACTCTGAAAGCATCAAATGTTTCATGGCAGTCTTGGGACAGAGATGATGAAAATCAGGGCTTATATTTTCCAAATAGCTGTTGTAATTGAGAGAGCGCTGATTGAGGGTTTCTTCTTGCTTGCAAGTTAGGGCAAGGAATGCTAATATTTGGAAAAATGAAATAAAAAAATAGATTCCTTGTAAAATTGCTCTCCTATTCTCTCCTAGGTCGTGACGTACTTTTTATCAACAAGGTCTGATTATGTCTCAGTTCGCACAATTAGTCTTGGAGTGGGTTCTTTATCAGCTCTGATCGGCTGACCAAATATCTGAGTATTTTCTACCCCTTTAGTATTATTCAAAGACAAGTGTAACCTTTGAAATATATTGTTATGACGAGTCTAAGTCGCAGTTATTTTTGCCACTATTAACTCTTTTCATAGGAGCAGCTGAAACCCAAGCATTATTAAGTCCACGAACCGCGTAATGAAGGGCTCGATCAGTGATCGCAAGTTATTTTGACGTACTGCCGTCAAAGTTGGACTTCATGGCACGTATGCAAAGTAAAAGTATGTCTGAAACACCCTATCGAAAATGACACGATAAGAGTACTTGACGTCACGAATATGTAACTCGTTGCCTTATATGGTCAAGAAAGTTTTGTTTAAAATGTTTGAAAATAGTAATATTTTAAAAAGAAGGAACACTTTCGGTTTCAGAGGTTATTTGAAAATCTGTACAAAACTGTCGCAAGATGGAAATGTATGCAAGAGAAAGAATTATACCTCACATAAAATCATGTTATAATAAGAACTTTATTTTGAAATTATCCAGCTCATTGTACGTGGTGAAGTTCATTTACAGACCAGCTGTAACATACAGGTGACCTCAAGAACGATAGTGCAAAAATAAATATGCAGTTTTTTTGGCCTGAAAGGGGAAACAGCGTGATCTTAATCGCCTTTTTCAAAACCAAGAGCAGGAAACAGTCATGTCCAACAGTAAACTTCCACGTCAAGATTCTTTCCTTTTTTTTCTAGTAAATAGTGTTAACTAATGTCACTCATCAATCCAACATGTAAGCTCCTGTCACGGGATGTCACGCAATTTGTCATGTCACACGAGTCGTGTCATTGACCCCATTGTAATCAACCCTTTCGGGTACTATTATATGGATGTAATCTGAAGGTTTTTTTTCAGGTTTTGACTCACTCTTCGAAAAGTTTACACAACATACATTTGACAATGAAAATATTTAAGACGTTAAAGTTAGTTTATGGATATTCGTGACATCTCGAGTAAAATAACTGGATAACTAAAAATATACATATTTCTGTGATGAGTAACTCTGTTTCTTTACACTCCGCTGATTTTTTATTTGAAGAAGAAGGAAAAATGGAAACGTTTTCGTTTATGATTGTGTAATATTCATAGTTTACAGCTTATGGATTTCAATATAGTACCACTACGTCCTCAGATTATAATAACGACTTTTCCTGTTGGCACCAATCAATCTTGGCCACAAAACCAAGCGAGAGGAGAGAAAGGATTCTCAACAATTTTTTGCCGGTGGAAACGAAGCTTGACGCGGATTTTCAGTAAATGACGTCATCATAAAGAAGAGCCATGGTTTTAGTTTTACCGGCATCTGATTGGTTGTGAAAGTGGTGTGATTCTCTGAAAAATAACACAGCGAAGTGATGCAAACAAATGCATTCCTGAATTATAGAGCGGTTTTCGATTGAGTGTCGTAAAACCAAAACCAAAGTAACCACAAAAGCCAACCGCTGCCTTTGGGAGGCCATGAAAACTCAAAGTAAAACCAAGCAAACTGACTGAGAGGCGGAAAAAGCGGGCGACCAAGTCGCGGTTGATTTTAGTTTTGCATTTGATTGGTTAAGAGAGTGGCGTTTTTTTTAGACTGATCAAAGTGCGAAGTAAAGCAAACCCAAAAGAATCCCATATTATTTTTGGCACTCAATCAAAAACAGCTCTTCAAATTTACCCAGTAAGCTAACGTTACTCAAGAATGAGATAACTCTGCATCTAACATGGCCGCCATATCATTATCTTCTTCATCGTCACTTGGTGTCGAGCGGCGAGTGTAATCATCGTCAGAATCAAGGCTGCTTGAAACTTTATCAGAATCTTTTTCTTCATCCCCTTCATTTTGTCCATCATCATCGTCATCATCAAGTTTCACTTTCTTGCCTGCCAACTCATCATCATCCTCCGGCGAGTCTCTTTCCTTCTCTCGCTTTCGCTTACTCGTTGATTCTGATTTTTCGGAATCAGAAGGACTGCTCGATTCTGACACACTTCCTATCAAATCGCTCTCCTCGTCGCTGTCGTTCATAAGATCCTCGACTTCTTTATCCATAGCTTCGACCTCCGACGGCGAAAATGATAATAAGGGGTTCAAGGTAGACATAAGAAGATCCGCACTACTTGCCGAATCAGATCTTGATTTAGTGACCACATTTTCCTTATCAACAACATCCAAGTCCAAAATCGCTTTTTCAACTGCTCTTGTATCTGCAGTTTCTCCAGGTGTCCCGCGAGGTGTGCCATGATCCCGGACCTGTTGCTTGTATTTCTCTAAGCCTTCAACTGGAAATAAACGCTCATCCACCTTCTCCCAGCGTTCAAAACAGCAGAACAACCAACCGGGATTCACTACCTTTATCCCGCGGGATTTTACCGCTCGGTACGATTTCTCTGTCCCTAAACGACCTGCGATCACGTGGGTGGTTACGTCACCGATAGAGTTTGTATCTTTGGGTGTAACAATCGCATTACTAACGTTAGCACCTAGGGCGCGTGCAACGCGCCATGGTTGACTGTCTTCTTGTATTGTCGATGTAGGAATTACTCCAGTAAAGACTACATTAGCTCCCCGAAGTACATCCCGGCGTAGTTCGGTCATTATCATCTTCGTATCCGGAGTCGATGTTCCTGGTGTACAATATTTTAAAAAGTTAGGATTGTTTTTCACCTCTTCTGGAGCCTGCGATTGAACGCTTTCTACAGTTTTGTAATAAACATCGTGTATTCGACGTAAAATGTCCTCCAGGTGGAGGAGGTAATCGTCGTCCCCATCACCAAACGCGTAGGCTTGCTGCCGTGATTTCTTGATTTTCGTTTGGTCTGGAACGTTTTGCATGTAAATAAAATCAAAGTAACACCATTGTGAACGCTTGGATATACTGTACAAAATATAATTAACATATGCAGTGATTGAACTACAGACAATGATCCTATAATTATTAGAAACAAAGTGTGTCTTGAAAATTCTGATTATATGCAGCAAATTTGAACATAACATAGCCTAGTTTTATTCCATTTCATTTCTATAGAGAAAGCATCTCGTATTTTCATCTCCTCTCGCTGTTTCATCTAACTTTCCGGAAAATTGCCATCAACCGCACAAAGAGTTGTATGACACTTCTCAACCTGACTTTAAGAAACTTTAAGGTTTCGTTAAGAAACCGCTATGGTTCATATGTTTTCACATTCCCAAAAGTGTTCCTTGTTGCCATAACAATAAAACTCAGTTTTAACTCTTTACTCCTACAATCTGATTGTCAATTCTCCCTTCTAGCTTCTGCACATCTTGTAAATTAGTCAAGAGAATTTGGTGTTGGATCAAGATAATAAATTCTATCTGATAAATTTAAGTATTCTCATTATACGTTTGATGGATGATGTATGTATATTGAAGGGAGAATTTAAGTGTAAATCACTTCTGGGAGTTGAAGGATGAACCGGCTGCTTCTCAGTTATGAAGTTTTACGAAAAATCAAGGGCATAGGATGATCTATGCGGATTTTTTTCATTCACGTTCTTTTCATTCACGGCAGAATTGAACTTCCCAGGAGAGGATATATATTCTTTTACTCGGGGAGGTACGTAACACGTTAGATTTATCACGTCACATGAAATGTTTTGAAAAAGTTAAGTTGGAGAAGAACTCAATATCTTTGGAGATCACAATGTAGCGAGCGAAACTGAGAGGTAAATGACTAAAATGAAACTGCGCGAGAGGACCTTTTCACAACGAATCCAAAGGCTTTCATTAATTTTGTCTGTTAATTCCAGAAAATCCAAGAATGCTACTCTTCTTAAGATTTGGTTGCAAGAAATCTCGACGAAAACCTGACACTCACCTCCTTCACCTTTCAACTCAGTTTTACTTGACGTGCTAACACTTCCCTCAGATGGTCGCTGCTCTAATTCATTTTCAGCTTTTCCATCGGCATCCTGTTTTCCGTTTCTTGTATTTACACTCGATTTCTGGATTTCAGTCGACTCCTCTCTAACAATTTTATTGCTGGCGCTATCACCTCCGCCATTTTCCATTACTTTGGATGAGGTCCCTATTTCTTCAACTGCTTCTCCAGTGATCTTTTCACTTTTGTTCTGCTCGATGTCTTCAATAACAGGCTCACTGCTATCCGAGGAAATTTGCATATCTTCATCTAATTTCTGAATTTCCTTTGTCTCCGGATTAGCAACTTTTCGTTCTGTCTCTCCATCGTCGTCAAACACCACATCATTTTTCTTCTGCTCCGTAACACCACCTTCGTTGTCGTCCCGAGAATTCGACTCTTCGATTTTTGCATCATCCGTAGTAGTTTCACTTCGATTACCAGGATTTCCGATGGGGTTGGTATCTTCTGTGACTGGAGCAGATCCACCTAGTGGGGCATTAATATCCCCTACTCCTTTGAAGAACTGGTAGGGTTTGACGCGAATCAAGTTGGCGGCAAAATTCCAAACATCTTCCCGATCATCTATTATGCAAACCATGTTATCACCGCAAGGAAATATTGCCCTGAAATATGACCAGATATAAGAATTTGCTGTGAATTCCAGTAGGTAGGATTAGCCACTGTATGTGATATTAAATGAAGTCTTTAAGCTACCCACATACACATTTAAGGCCAAGTTCCTAATGTTCTATCTCTGAAATCATTTATAGAACACCAGGATTTTTCGAATATCTCCAGGGAACTAGTTGTGATCAATTCGCAGTCGCGAATTCTGCTCACGTAGACATCTCATGTAGCACAAGTACCATCATAACGTTAAAAACGGCGGACCTACTGGCAGACCGCAGGAGTTTCAATAAATTTGATTTTCGGCGGTCTACCACCGATACTCCCGCGGTATACCGCATATCACCGATACCGCGGTCTACCGCCGCCTATAAGACTTCTTCGCGCCGTCTGTTTAGCCAAGAAGGCTCTCGTAGCCGGGTTCACATTCCGGCTCCTTTTACGGCCACAGTCGCATAAATATAAACCGACGGCGCCCGCCTATGGAAAAACTATTGAAACCTCGCAAGACCAAAATATTTCTCACAGCCAACAGAAGCAGAAACAGCTAAGAAAGCAAAGTACTATTTTACAAACCTCGCAAGACCAAAATATTTCTCACAGCCAATAGGAGCAGAAACAGCTAAGAAAGCAAAGTACTATTTTACAAACCGGCTCGACTTTGGGTAAAGTATAAAAAAGAAAGAAATGAACGTGAAAGAAAGTTGCATGCTAAAGGAAGATTCAGGCTCAGACTGAGGGTGTGTACCGGGTTGTCTCAGCCTACCCACTGCTCTTCTATAAGTCAATGTTTCCTTTCGTCCCGGGAGCCTCTTAACAGGTGAACAAAACACATGCCACAGGTATTTTAAAGTTTGCCACACCTGAAAAGTTTCACACACCTGAAATGCCTTGCCAGGCCTCTGACCAGAATTCACTTACATTAATTCTCGATTGAATTTGAACAATTGTGATTTATACTTGTAGGTGATTGCAAAAGGTTATACAAATAAATTCTAGCTTTAAGCAGATAAAGCATTAACTTGGAAGATTTCTAACCTCAAGTCATGAGATTTGGAAAATGCATTAAAGCACTCATCCCTTGAACGAATCCTGTGTGCAAAGAGTTTTCCAGTAGGGTCTAACATTCTGGCAATAGTGTGAGCATACATTCTTGAGCCCATGGTGAAGATGTGCAGCTCAAAAAGACTGGATACACTGTTCAGGAAGTTCACTGCTCCTGGCCTGATCTTAGTGTGATACCACACATGCTGATCAGGTAGTTGAAAGTGATGGACGTCCTGTAACCATATCAACATTTTATAATCAGTTGTTAATCTAATGAAAGCATGAAGGAAACAAAGTATACCTGGATTAAATCATGGGAAAACATGATTGATATAATGGTACTTGGCGCAACTTTACATCCAGAATGGTCAAAAGGTAGCACCGAGATTTTGAGAAAATCACTGAATGTAAACACGATCAAGACAGTAACTCATGAAAAGACAAATTTTTTCACCCTCCAAACATATGGCCTCATAGCTCAGTTAGTAGTGGTGCCCAACTGATATCTGGAAACTATGGTGCTGCGTTGGTGGAGTATAACAAGATAATTTGGTTTTATCACCTGAGTTGGTCTTCTAAATTGGCCACTGTAACCGATTGATAACCAAAGTAACAAACTCTTTATGGTGGCCAATTTACATCACCAACTCACTTGATAAAACCAAATTAACTGGTATCTGGAAGACATAAGTATAATCCTTTTGCTAAAAAAGACCCTTGTTATTAGCAGCAGATTCACCCAGCAACCTTTGTAGCCTTTGAGACTGTCAGTAACTCAGCCTGGATGAACATTCAAAACCCTGAACAATTTGTCCTAATAATTTTGGTATGTCTGTTTCTATTTTACAAATAACATCCCCTGTATACCTGCATGCCTCCCTTAATTTTATCCCCTGTTTCAGCAGAGAATTGGGAACCCTCAGGCCCACAGGTTGCTAGGTACTATCCTCACTGAAACCTGGTTTCTTTCTTTTAGCCTTTTTTCTCTGCGACAACTTCAATTGCAGTTTACCTGTGAAGATCAATTTTATATAACTATTTGTGAAATAAGATTTATACCTCCATATCTTGTGGTATCAGCTCCATAGTTGTGTGAATGAGGGTCTGGTCCAGATCCACTACAAGGGACAATTTGCGAGTTTGAAGGAGTCGCTCCTCATCCTTTTTTCCCAAAGCTTCTGCCTCCTGAAATGGAATTGTACCATGTTTAGAAAAAAGATTGAACCGTTGATAATTATTAGAAGGATCAAAATCTTTCAGTTTCACAAACTGCTAAATTATCCAATGAGGATCAAAGCTTTTTTTTTCAGAAGGGGAGTACAAGTCACTTTACCTTCCCAGTAAATCTCTGTCTCCTTCAGGACAAAATGGGGGGGGGGGGGACCTTAAAAAGGCCTAACACACCACAAAAACAATCTTATTCATAAAGAAATCGACAATCCTATTTTCCAACCATAACAAATAATGAGCGCATACCTCTTGGCTCACTTTTAGCTCAGGAATGTTATGTATAAGTGGCACAGATGCCAAAGTTGGGGAAGATGGCTCATCTTGTTCTTCACGAAGTCTACAAAATGAATCATTAGACACTGTGTTGTCACCATTACTTCACTATATACAGTTGTATTGCATAATAAAATGTCTTGCAAGATCAAAAGCTAATTTAATTTCTGAATTTCCACTCACTGACAGAATGATCGACAAATTTTCTTGTACACAAAGTCTATGTAAAATTATAGGTTCCTTAATTTAGTCCTAAAGATATGCATTTCAACAATTCAGTATATGTATATATGATCATTCTGACATATCAAATAATTATGACAAGTAACCATATTGGTTTTTAAACTCAGAAATATTTCACAATTTTTCTCATGGCATAACCAACTCAGGATTCTCCCTAGTTTTCAGCACAACAGGTAAGGGACCTTTTCAAACCCGTAAAGCACATTTGCAGCTTCAGGTGGCTGGTCATTCTCAACTTTGTCATTTCCTAAAGCATACAGTACATCGCGCCTATCAAACATTCTTCATCGAAAAATTCCTTATGCGAACGATACACCTTTAGTTTCAGAGGTTGAAAAAAACAATGTAAAATTTTGTTTAAAAGCATTGTATTTGACCATGCCCTTTCCAAACTGCTTATAACATAGCCTGGTCTCCCTTTAATTTCGGGTGATATCTTTGGTGTCACTTACATGACATATCGCTGGAAAATCAGTGGTGTCAGCAACGAATTGCATTGCTATGAAATTGAATCACATCAACTAGCTGAATTTGTGTTCTAATCGTCTCAAATTCAGAACTTTTATACTGTTGACAGATTTTATTTTCAAGGCTTCTTTTAAACCGTTGTCTGAAACACATTTCAAGTAGAATTTCACAATGAAGACTAGCTTTGTCCCCACATGTTTGTGGGGCAATTATAGAGTTGTTAAGGTGGTTATTTCTGGCAATATTGGCTGCTTTTCCATCGCTAGTACATAACCTTTGTTTTGTTTACCCCTCAAATTCTTATAAAGCTTACCAGCCACTCTGCGTGACCTCTTGTTACTGAACAGAAATGACAGCATTGTTTGCTACTGTTTCATTGTGGAAACTGAACAACTAAACAACACCACATTTGCATGTGTAGAGAACTGACAAATGTCATGAAATTTAGCAGAAAGCCCACGAAAAATCACTCTTGCTTCAAAATTTGAAAGGTACTAGTCAGTTTTAGCTTACTAAAGCACATATAGATCCATAATAGTGCATAACCACAAACTGATGACCATTTTTGTGTAAATTTTGTCTGCTTTTTCTAGCATTCTAGAGGTATTTCCATTTCTAAAGGTCGCACATTCTGATGGTAAACTAAGGCTGATTTCCATTTTCTACAAGGCTATTAGTAAAAATTGCTACATGACTAAGCAATTGCTTGTGACCAGCTAGGAAAAATAGTCAAGGTTTATACTGCAGATACTTACTTTCTGAGATCAACACCACAGTCACAGCATAAATCTTTCATGACCATCCGATGTTCACATTCTGCTTCATCTATCAACAATACTGGCATGCTAAGAATAACACAATTACATTTTGTTAACTATAATGAAAGATTTTGATGTTCTTATACTTCATGCATGATTGGTTAAAGTATATACTGTGATCCAATATTGCTCATCTAAAAACTGGGGAATGTCCGGTGATATTACCTTGGTTTTGTTTCTACATTTTGAAACCTTATCAAACATTCAATTCAAATAGATAATTTATGGTCCAAGTTTAAACCAAGATATCAGAGCATTTTTCTGCGGTAACACACAGAAGAATAGACAGAGATAATTAATTTGTTCATAATGTGCAACAGGACAAACACTGATTTTTGACAGAAAGCTGTGTGTGAAAACTTTACCACAAAGGGGTTAAAGGATGAAACCTTGATGACTTTTAGTGTGTTTTTGTTTCCTTTTGTGTTTGTTTTCTTTTGTTTTGAGTTAATTCCAGTCTACAGTGTACTAAAACCATTTTTCTTTCTCTTCTCTTTTTTTTATAGTTATTGTTTTTGTTTTGTTTTGGGATTTCCAGCAAAGCCTCTAGTCATGAGTCAACTCATTTTGTATGAATTTTGATCACAAAAATAATAATCTTAACAAAGCATGGCTTAAAAATATAATAAATCAATTATTACAGGTTAGTGGTAAGGAATGAGTAATTTTTAAGGTTGTCAAATATTAAAATTAATAATCATAAAAAAAAATGGAAAATGCAAGCTGGATACAATTTAAAGAAACATGATAAGTTACTAAGCTCCTTTACATTGCTATAAAATGGGATATCAGTAAAACTCTTCATTCACTCTACAAATACAAGCATTAGATGGAAGTAGATAATTCTATTAAAATAAATTGTAAAAATAAATTAAAATAAAAGGAATTAAAATAATCGCGATAAGTGGATTGGTGGTTCAACAGCCAATCAAATCCCGTAGAAAAATTTGCGCACTAAGCGATAAATAAAACTCGCCTCCAAAATCCAGGCGTTCGAGGTTAAGAGCAGCTATGCCACAGAACTTGACAGAAACGTATTTTATCTTCATATTGTTGGTATTTAAAGAGCTTAAAAGAAATTTCTGTACCTAGCCACTGATGCAAAAGTTAAAATTGTTTCATTCCTAATCTGTTTTCCGATTACACAAAGCCGTTGCATGCACAAATCTTACTCTCTTTCTCACAACCAACAAACGTGCAGCGACCCACGATGTTTGGGACAAACTGAAATCTTCGCTGATTCGGAAGAAAACCCCTAGTAAAGTGATAGATCTAAAATATGTCAACTTGCCCTGGTGCAGTGCAGCCTTGAAGCTCTCGTTTCCTAAATAGATGAGCTCTGTAAACGCTTCACCGTTCGAACATTTATGACGAAAACAAACTTTCCACTGTCAACTCATCACAACGAACTTAGTTGTCCGCACATGACTCAGACCTTTTCCACGACAGATTTTCTCTAACTGTTAAAAGTATTTAAATCCGCATTTTAGGGACTTTTCCTATTCGCGTTTGACCCACCGTTTCTCACCTGGCTGCTACGATTTCTCCCTCAGCGACCAGCAATTCACGGACTATACCAGTAAAGGCTGATTTGAGTTTCGGCTGAGTTATGAAAGATCCAGCCCGATCCCCGTCACCAATAATTTCATAGAAACAAAGAACACTCCCTTCTCTAACTTCTGAGCCAGGACCAACTCGCCATCGTAACAGTCTTGCAGACGAAGACGTGGAAATAACAACTTCCCTTGCTTCTCTGTCCGCCATTTTACTTTCACTTTTCGCGCGTGGGTCAATAATCAACCATCTAGGGTGGGGCGTGTGAAAGAAGTCACTTTCTGGGATAGGGTCGAGTGAAACAAAGACATTTTCTGAAAGGTGAAAGACTACAATCCATAAAAGTGGCCCAGAACAGTTTTGAAAAGTCCTTAAATGCTTGCAGGAAATAAAGGAAATTATGTGTTTTGTTACAAAATAGGTTTCTTGCGATTTAATAATGAGCAGATTATTATGGGTTTCTTAAGCCCCCGCTTTCATCACACGAATTATTTTCCTATCATATAAAATTAAATTATTGTAATGCTTGTTCAAAAAGCAATTGTTCTCAGTAGTTGGTCTTTCATGATTTTGTGTGGTATTTTTAGATTTATTCCTCGTAAGCGCCCGCAATCATTCTTCCCCAGAGTAGCTGTCTGAATAATTTATGTATGCGCGTCTTGTCGCCATTTTGTAATGAAGACTACACACTACACTTCCTCTATGCGAAAGGTCATATTCTTGTTTACGACTTTTAATTTTTGCTCGTGAGAAAAGCTCCCTCTACGATTTGCGGAAATGGACGATAATGCTAGAGGAATGGCTTCAAAAATACTTTGCGACTTGCTGAACATCGGAAACACTGGAACAAGTGATGGTGGGTGCAAATTCACTTGTAATTTTTCGCGCAATGACAAAGTTTTACTTTTGGTACATACAAATTGAAAGATTTAGTTTCGAAAACACTGCGTCATGAGTGACTGTATGGGTGCACGATAAAGGAAAAAATTAAGGTTGTTAAATGAAGAAAGTAGCGCATAGTTCATCGTAATTGTAAACTTCTGCTTGATGCAGTTTTCATGTGTCAAAATGAAAATGAAAGTAGTGACTGTCAATGTGTATCCGATGAAATAGGTGTAAATGGTTGTTTTAGTCATGGCAAAGATTAAGTCAATAGTCTTTGTTATTTTCTTGCTCACTGTCGTGTGTGTTATGCTAATGATAAACAAGAGTAATGAATACCTTTCTCCTGTTTTTATCTAACATGTTTGTGAATCTAGTACTACGACATGACGAGGTTAATGAAAATTTTGCACATTTAATTACCTATTTATACGCATTGTTATTTATATCTCTATTTCCGCATGCCTCTTTTGAATTGTAGGTGAACTTGACCCAAAGATATTTTGGAAAGTATGTGGAAGTTACGCTGTAATTTTTTTTTAGAATTACAGCACTACTTCTTTCTTTGTAATTGGGCTTTACGTTTTCATTAAAATAATTTAAATTAACAGACATATTGTATTGACACTTTGTCTTCATGTATGTATCAGGGAGTAGTTTAGAGACACAAAGAAATGGAGAGAGAGACCTTGATGATACTCTAAGGTAAATATCTATGAATCATAATTTAACTTCTTTGCCTTTCCCTAAAGTGTACCAAATATGAAAACCCTTTAACTCCCAAGATCTGATTATCAGTTCTCCCCTCTAGCAGCCATGTATTTCCCTGTAAATTAGTTGCAAGAATTTGGTGTAAGATCAAGTTAACTTTATCTGATAAGTTTGAATATCTTCATTACCTGTGTGCTGAAAGATGTATGGATATTATAGGGGGGACTTAATTTAGGATGTTAAAGGGTTAATGCACTGGCCTTGATATATGGAATACACAAGTGTAAATGCTTTTCAGAAACACATTGACTTTTGCACCAACTGAATTTCAAAAGGGAGCACCTTAAGTAAATGCTGGAGTGGAAATCAGAACAGTAACATGTTTAGAGGGTGTTCCTTAACATTATCTATCACATTGGATGTGTGATATACAGAAGTGTAATGGTCTGTAACCTCCCTTCAGATTTAGACCTCTGGATTAGAGCTAATGCTAGTATATTTTGTCATGTCCTTAAGTAAGAAATTTAATTCTTACAGTCCCTTTTTCTATGCATTTTAAAAAAGCCTTGGTGGGTTTTGTCACTTGGCTTAAGAACAGAGTTAGTTGTGTAACCCCTTCAAAACTTTTATTGACTGTAAGGAGGACACTTGAAACATCTTCAATCTAATATGGAACTGGGCACCCCAGTTGAGATAGAAGAAGATGAAAGAAGTTTACACTACAACTCATACTTCAGACACCTGTTGAAAATTGAAGTCCCATACCAATTTAATTATGCATGTAGACTAGAGCAGCCTTGTAGAAGGTATAATCAGGGTTCATATTGGTCCTGAAAAACTTGGAAAGTCCTATAATTTTATTTTGGCATTTTCCAGGACCTGAAAGTCCTGAAAGAAGATTAACGGTCCTGGAAAGTCTGGGAAATCTGCTTGACTCTAGCCAAAAGTTTGTTTTAGAGCAATTTTTGTCTACAGTTTTAGTTCAGGATCTAAATGTTGTAGGGGTTTGTGGATTTGACTTTGCTAAGCAAAGTCATGTAAAGTTTTCTCAAAGCACAAATTCCCTTTTGATCTTGCCACTGGCTAGATGAGGTGCTGGCTCAGGTATAATACAGGTTTGTTGGCTCATTATTGTAGGGTGAATTGATGTTGAAATCTTGGGAATGAAAGGGTTTTAAGTGAAATTTGGAGTCCTAGGAAAATCAATCTGAGTTGTGGAAAAGTCCTTGAAATTTGTTTCTGAAAAAGGTTCAAACCCTGTATAAATAGCCATCAATGATTCTTTGAATGTGTTATGCCTATGACTTTGGTCTTACATTTTCAAAAGGAATGTGTTGTGTGATCCATGGTAATCTTCTTGCACTATATTATTTGATTGATGTTGCAGCGAATCAGCATCTACAGCAAGTTCTCTGTCTCCTCAAAGAAAGGTAAGTGAATGGACAAAATCTTATTTGTCTTGACCAGTTACTCAAACTAAGTGCATTTTCAAACAAAGTGACTTTCCTTTGTTGTAACAGCCATTTCAGACATAACATTCTAGTAACGAATGTAGCAAATAATGAAGAATTATTTGCAACAAGTGATATGAAGACTTATCAAATATTGAAGAACTATGTTCAGCAAGCAATATGAAGACATCTATTAAATGCAATGTACCAGTGCTCCATTTCACATTTCACGGTATTGCACTATTTTAGAGAAACTCAAAGGAACAGATGTCTGATGTGTCTGTCTCAGACAGTGAGGGTGTTGCTTCAAGAATGTCCCTCGAACCTGTCAAACAAGTCATGTAAGTCACTGATTTGCTTTAGAACATTATTACTAGCTGATTAATAGCTTATCCTTGTTTCCTTCAGATTTAAATTTAAACATTCATTTTTGCAAGATTCAGATAACCTTCAGTCGCATCATTTGTAAGCCTGTTACAAAGCTGGGGTTTATTATAGTGTAAGACTAAACAATCGGAGTTTAGTCTTCAAAGTGGAGTTATTTGTCTCAAATATGAATTGATTGATGTGTTCATGATGATGATGTAGACAGTGCTATAACAGGCAATTGTAGATTTTTGGAATTTAATTTGACCAATCAAGGGTAGTTATGATATAGAAACAGCTAAATGTAGTTTCAAGAGCTGAGCATGCTTTCATTTAGGGAAGAATAGAAACCACAAACTTGCTTTACTAAAGTGCATGCAATGTGAGTTCAATTTACACCCTAGATAGTAACCCTGAAGAAAGTTTTACACATTACATACCAACGCCACACCCAGGAACAAAAACATCTAACCTGTAACTAACTGCCAAGATTTTATGACATGAAATGTTGCTCAAACTGTAATTTCATATTTGGGCAAGAAAGCATATTTGCCTTTGAGGAGTCAAGCTTTTAAACTTCAGGTTGTTTTCTAAATTATGTAAAGGGATCTCACATGCTTCAAGGTTATGACTTACTCTTTAGTTTTTATACTGTGGAAGTTAATTATTGATTTTCAATTGTACTTTTCAGTGAGATGAAAGGCAGTGATGATGGAGGCAGTAAATCAGTTTACGGAAATGAAGTTGAAATTGTATCTGATGAAGCAGTTTCAACAAGTTACACAGCTAGTAATAAGGTGAGATCATTTAACCCTTTAACTTCCAAGCAAGGGTAAATTTTGTCTGTTATTTTAAGTAGATTGTCTCCAAAAAATTCCTCAACTGGCTTGAAATTCAATTTTCCCACAATTTCCATTTTAAGAATTGAGGATGAAGTTAAACATTGAGACACTTAACTAACATTTGAGTGGTACTGATGTGCTATGCATTCTTGTTGCTTTTCTTGGTCAACAACTGAATTAACCTGTAAAATCCTTTTGGCTAACTATCAAAGCTTACTGCCTCTTGTTACCTATTAAACACATTTTCATTCAAATTTTTATTGGTTTAGATTTTTAAACACTTTGAGTATTTTCCCTTTGTTTTGCCTTCCTTAAAATTGTAGTCTGAATCAAAGGAAAATGAACACCAAATTGATTTTAAAAATTTTAAACCTTGAAAAAGTCACCTTTTGAAACTCTAGACAACAGGGAGGTGGTTGGATTATCAGTTTCAGTTCAGTACTCCAGTGTATGACTGAATGTAATGTTAAACCTTTAACCTCAGTCTATGATTGACTAACAATTAATTTCCCCTTACAGTGTCACTGCTGAACTGAACATAGCATGATCAGTTCTCATGATAACCAAATATCTGCAGCACATATTGGGTTTTCATTTCAAGTTCAAAGTCTGCCTAGTTTCTTAGCCCTTGTCCATGTAGTGTTCTCAAACTTTTGCGAACTCAGAGTGGTGTCTTTTTTTAATGTTTGTTTTAGAAAAAATTGTAATAAAACATTTACTGAATTTGGTTTTTGCATCATAAAATGAATTATCAAACTTCATGTCTGGCTTTGGCAGATAACTTAGACCTCGGCATTGATAATTTATGATATCATTCTCAACCTCATCCAATAATTGCTTATTATTGCCAACTAAAGGAGCTCTTGACCATTAAACAATTTCTCCTTGTCAGCACAAAGGAGATGTTTAGAGAACAGTGTGGAGAATTTGTGCACTGATAATAGGGTTAATGACCAATTTTATTTTTCAC